TGAAGCATCCCTTCCGGAGCATACTTGTCTTAAAATCTCTTAAGCAATATTACTGACCGACATTTTGAGATTTATTATTTGTTTATTACAGTATAATTAAGTTGCACTTGTTCCAAGAAAAATACTACTTTGAGGAAGTACGCCAGTGCGTACTATACCATATATAAGGGATTATGTTGAACATATTATCTGGGATTTAATATAAATGTATCCATAAACTTCACATTGGGACAATCTCGATATTGAAAAATTGAACCTTTGACCTACCATTTTTATACATTTTTTTAATTTAGCCCATATCATCATTTAATTTCTTAAGCCCTAAACCTTAATTTATGATCATAATTTTCGGTAAAGTCAATCATCAGTTTTTCTGGGAATAATTAATTTATGTCAACATACAGGATCCCTGAATCCTGATCCTAAGATCATTGCTAATGATATTAATTAATTAAGGAGCATTTACCTTGATTATTATGTATTTAATTTAATTTAATTATTATGATGGGAGACATGCAGAGCTCGAATTGACAGAGTTTGAGATAAGAGGGATGTGCAATGAATATATAGAAAGGTCAACCTCATCTTTATGCATTATAACCAAACGAATCCATTTAGAATTACGTTTTATGACTAATTCATTCCAAACTAATCGTACTGAAAAAAAGGAACCTTAACAAAATGGTTGAAATCATTAAAGGTCAAAATTTTTGATCGAGACGTTCTAACGTCCAACAAAAACACGAATGCAGCACAACCATATAAACATGTTGCTTGTAGATTGAAGATTAATGAGTCATCGTATCATCAATTGAAATACATCATAAACCTTAATTAAATAGTTTATTATCTTTATTAATATGAGAATTATTTAACTAATTTGAGTAAATTAAGAAAGTCAAATAAATTAATTAATAATAACAGATGTAACATGATCTCTTTAAAATGCTTTTGTATAACACATTAGATTATGTTTTACAAGTTATATAATTTAGCTTGAGGGAAAATGATAAAAATGAAAGATAAAATGAATATAAATCTTATATTTAGGATTAAATTCAACCATCAATTGGTTTTTATGTTAGGGATTAGAACGAGCATTAACAATTGAATACTATTCTTTTTCATTTTAGGAGTGAATTATCGTCATCTTGTTTATAAAATTAAGTAATTTCACTCTTATAATGTAACTAAATACGTATGGCTTGCTAGTGAAAGACCTACAAGATTTATTAAACTAGTATTTATCAGCAGAGCTTCCAGCAGATAGAGCAAATTTATCAGCATAGCTGTAATGTTTTGTGTATATAGTGGATCCTTAATAAATAAAAAAGAAAACAAAGAAACAGCTGGATCCCGTATATATTATATAAAAAAATAGATAGTAAAATAGTAAAATATATCACGCATCATATAATTCTATTTTCCCGAATGAATCTACTATTCATTTTATTCTGGACTTGGAAACTGAAAATTTTGCTTACGGCATCTGAATAAAGAGCACACGATTGATATCTTATGATGAACAAATAATGCTAGAGGTTATGCATTTCACTTGTTATTTTTTTTCTTTTTTAGCATAAGTTAGAGTATCTCCTTAAGTAGTTTTGGGCTTAAGTCATTCTCTATCGGATTGAGAGTGTTAAAATTAAAGTCCTCCTAACAAATATGTTTTTTGAGATTTAAACTTATATTATTTTTTTTATAAAAATGAGGCCGTTTATCATTTCAACTACCAGTTTGGTTTGCACTTGTTATACTTGACATTGATATGTTTATCTAAATTCTAACGATCTAAATTTCTTTTGGGTCTCAAGATCAAAAGGATACATTAGTTGGCCCAAAAAGGATAAATTTGTCTTGGGCCCAATTCTGAACTTGTTTGAATCGTAGCCCATATACTTATAACCCGTGCTTGGATCGTAAAGAAACAGGCTCCTTCTTCTCCTCTGTCCAGATTCTCTTTTTTTCTTTTAATAAAAAGAATTTGCCAAAATTTTCTTTTAATGTTGATACTGAAGTCATGCCTCACTTTAAGATCACGTGTATTTTTCTTCACAAGGAATAGATACACTTCTGGTTCTTAATATACAATCTTGAGAGTTAGTATTGGTTCTATATTTAATATCTATTTTAAATGTTTCTCAATTTTTTCAAATTAATCTTATTGAAATTTTGTCAATAATAATTAAATAGAAGAGGAAAAGAAGAAATTAAAGAAGATAATAAGGATATTTAAAAAAAATTATACTCCTCCGATCCTTAATATAAGACCCATTTAACTAATTTAATTAGATTAAGGAAGTTAGGTAAGTTAGTTAATTATAAGAAACATGATATGTTATTCCTAAAATACCATAATCATCTTTCTTAATACCCTCTCTCCCTCTTCTACTTGATTATGGTTAAGGGAGTATTTATAGGGGTAATTTAGAGAAAATTGATAAATATGAGAAATGGTTCTTATATTTAGGACCAAAACCAACTCAACAATTGGATTCTATATTAAGGACCAGAGGAGTATTAACTAATTTAACTAACATCATTAATCTAATCAAATATAAGAGGAAGACCTATTTCACATGTACATCAATTTTTTTTTTTTAAATTAACTCTATTGTTATTCCTTCAATAATAATCTAATAAAAGAAGAAGAGAGAGAGTTAAAAAAGGTGATTAGGATACTTTAAAAAAATTATATTAACTAATTTAACTAACATCATTAATTTACTCAAATTAATTAATTATATTTTACATTAAGCATGGATGAGTATTTTTCTTTGTCCTTGTGTAATACTATTCCATCTATCTTAAATATAAGATTCATTTTACAGTATAAATACAATATTCACACTACAAAGGGTACAAGGTAGATTTTAGGGAAAATGACAATAAAATACCACCTGAATTTCAAAAAGACAAATAAGGCACCTGAATAAGCAAAATGACATATAGGGGACTGGGTACCAATCTGGAATTCAGATTTTTGGCCAAAAGACCAAAATGCCCTGTCTGAAAGTGAGAGGAAGGAGAGAGGAAGACACTGATGAAATACGGGAAGGAGAGAGGAGGAAGACGCTGATGAAATCGGGAAGGAGAGAGGAGGAAGACGCTGATTTTCGATGGGTTCCCACAGCTTAAAATGTTATTGCCTAGCATTTCTCTAAAAAATTTTGGTTCTGTCTCTGTTCTTCGCATAAAACCATTTTCAGAGAATGTGAAGCTGTGGGAAAGATGAACCTGTGGGAAAGATGAAGCGAAAATCAGAAAACAATGGCAAGCAATTACGTAACGTAACTGCTGTCATATGCCTGCTAGTTTTTAGTAAATCCCACTACGTGAATGGTAAATTTCACTATACATGTAGTTAATTATGAAAGTTAATAGTTCAATGTTTATTGTAACGTACTTCAAATGCACGTTCACTGAATGATTTATTTATGCTTATAAGTTGCCTTTCCGGTGAAAACAGGTTTACAAAACCCATTGAAGAAGTAGTCAGTTTCACTATAAAAGTTGTAAATCCCAGTATATGTTTTGTAAAATTCAACATGAAATTTTATTGGTTTTTACAAACAAGTTGTTTATCTCCTGAAAACATGTTGCAAAACCCATTAACAAAGTAGTCACTTTCACTACAAAAGTTGTAAATCACAATATGTATTTTGTAAAATTCATAATTAATTACATGTATAGTGAAATTTACAACCACTATAGTGAAAATGACCACTTCTTAAATGGCTTTTGCAACCAGTTTTCAGGGGATGAGCAACTTGTTTCTAAAAACCAATAAAATTCCAGACTGAATTTTACAAAACACACAATGATATTTACAACTTTTATAGTGAAAATGACCACTTTTTAAATGGCTTTTGCAACCAGTTTTCAGGGGATGGGTAACTTGTTTATAAAAACCAATAAAATTCCATACTGAATTTTACAAAACATAGAGTGATATTTACAACTTTTGTAGTGAAAATTACCACTTCTTAAATGAGTTTTGCAACCTCTTTTCAGGGGATGAGCAACTTGTTTCTAAAAATCAATAAAATTTCGCGCTGAATTTTACAAAACACACAGTGATATTTACAACTTTTATAGTGAAAATGACCACTTCTTAAATGGCTTTTGCAACCAGTTTTCAAGGGATGGGCAACTTGTTTGTAAAAACCAATAAAATTTCACGTTGAATTTTACAAAACATATACTGGGATTTACAACTTTTATAGTGAAAGTGACTACTTCTTCAATGGGTTTTGTAAACCTGTTTTCACCGGAAAGGCAACTTATAAGCATAAATAAATCATTCAGTGAACGTGCATTTGAAGTACGTCACAATAAACATTGAATTATTAACTTTCATAATTAACTACATGTATAGTGAAATTTACCATTCACGTAGTGGGATTTACCAAAAACCAGCAGGCATATGACAGCAGTTATGTTACGTAATTGCTTGCCATTGTTTTCTGATTTCCGCTTCGATTCACTCCCTCTCGCACTACAAATCCTCTTTCCCAAAACCAAAATCAACAATATCTACAGAATGGTGATGCGAAGGAGTAAGATAATAGCATTTTCAACATTCTTCTTTCCTTCTTCCCGCATTTCATCAGCGTTGGTCTTCCTCTCTCCTTTCTCTCACTGCGTTGGTCTTCCTCTCTCCTTTCTCTCACTTTCAGCGTCTGTCTTCCCGCATTTCATCAGGGCATTTTGGTCTTTTGGTCGAAAATATGAATTCCAGATTGGTACCCAGTGCCCTATTTGTCATTTTGCTTATTCAGGTGCCTTATTTGTCTTTTTGAAATTCAAGTGGTATTTTATTGTCATTTTTCCTAGATTTTATGTCCAAGACCAAGAAGTACTATTTTTTAATTCTAAAAAATTTAGAATGATTTCTAATTTTCTATGTTCATGGGCGGGTGAAGCACTCGGCGAAACGACGTCGTTATTATCCACATTAATGGCAGCGCGCAGCCAGCGAGCCAGGCGTCCGATATGATATGCCGACATGAGACTGATGATCGGCGAAGGATTCTGAGAGACTGAAAAGAAGGGAACACAGAGCCAAGAACATTTTGTTGAGGAGTTGCGTTTTCTAAGCGCGCCGTTTCCATCTTCGTTCTCTCGATCGCTCAGTGAGACAGAGTGACAAGGAACCGTTTTCTGCTGTGCGATGGCGGAGAAACCTCAACCGGTTCGGGTGTTATATTGCCCCGTCTGCAGTTTGCCCGCCGAGTACTGCGAATTCGGACCCGATTTCGAGAAATGCAAACCCTGGTTGATCCAGAACGCCCCTCAATTATACCCTGATCTCCTCAAAGGTCTCTTTCATTCTTCGATTCTAGTTTCTTCTCGCTACTTCCCTGTTTCGTATGTATTTTAGTCCCTTTACTATCATGATTTGAAATTGGATTATGTTGTGCGCAGAGGCGAGCACTGATAAACTTGCCGAGCAATTGCAAAATAGCGGAATATCGTCAGGGGCTAGGGATGGAGGTGCTACCTCAGGTCGGCTTTCTCTGTGTTTTGTCTTGCTTTTATCTCTCTCTCTCTCTCTGTTTTTTTTTTTTGGGGCCCCGTTTTCAATATGGTCACTCAAACTACTAGTAAAGTGATGGTTGAAGCTACACTTCTAAATCTTTTCTCCTCCATAACTTTTGGGGGGTGGGGGGTTGTTCAATTGTTACTCCTATTCCGGGTCAGTCGTATGAGCCATTAATGTCATCCGTTATTAAACTTTTAGACTTTGAGATGCAGTATTTCTCCTTGTTAGTCGTTCTCTCTTAAATAAGCAAAGACAAGTACTTTGCTTTTTCTTGCATTCGGAGTAAAGTTCATTTGATAACTCACCTAGGACAAAATTATAACCTTTGTCCCTTGCAATGAAGCCTGATTACATATCTGAGTGTATATGGTTCGTCTAGTTGAATTTTTGTCCATTAATATTTCTTTTATCTTGTAAGCTGTGATATTTCCATTAGTTTGGTTCAGGCTGCTTCCTGCGTATTAGTATGTTTTTTCCACTAATAATGTAAAAGAATGATCTCCCCATAGTCGTGTTTTTCTACTGCTTCCATCATACATTTATTCAGTTGAGTTAGACATTAATCGGTAAGTTAATTCTGTAATAATGTGAAATGGTGTTTTTCTACTGCTTGCATATTGGTTATGACGATAGCATTTCAAATACTCCCTCACAGTATCTTTTTGATGTTTTAGCTCCTAAGCAGGAAGAAGTCAAGCGTCTTCCTGGTGGTAAGATCAAGAAAAAGGTATTCCATGGTATTCCTTCACGTTATCTAATTAGATATGGCCGGCCTTTGACACGAAGTAATGATTCCATTCATTTCATGAGAGTGGCACTCGTTTTCAGGAGAAGCAGGAGGTTGTCATTGAGAAGGTTATTCGCAATAAACGAAAATGCATTACCACTGTGAAAGGCCTTGACCTTTTTGGTGAGATATATGTTGCCCTGATTTTTTTTGGGTCGTAAACTTGTATTATTGATACATTCTTATCATTACCTCTTCGCTTTTATTGCATTTCAGGTGTCAAGCTCAGTGAAGCATCAAAGAAACTTGGGAAAAAGTTTGCTACTGGAGCATCTGTTGTCAAGGTTCGTTAGCGCTGAGTTAGTAGATGTTTAATTACTTGTTTAGCGTTTGTCTTTGATGTCTTACAATATCTGGCATTGATTGTTTTCAGGGACCGACGGAGAAAGAGCAAATTGATGTTCAAGGAGATATATCTTATGACATTGTGGAGTTCATTACGGAGACATGGGCTGATGTAAGACACTTTGATTCTTAGTTTTATGATTATATTATAAGTCAACTGAATACGCATTTCCTTCAATCAGTGAAAGAGAAAATGAAACGGAAGATGCTCTCACATCTTAGTAAGATTATATCTGTTGTTAATTTCACATATTTATTTGTATATGAAACACGAGTGGCTGTAATGATTTGAGCACAGAAATTAACAGCAAGGACAATGCTTTGTTGAAAGTGTTAATCTGTGAAAATTCACATTATATTGTGTAGTCGGCCCCAACAAGAGCAACGTTAGTTGACCTATACTCATATAGTGCGTTTAGCATAGTTTTTGTTTTGGTAACCCACGACATGGCTCTTCAATGTGGTGACTAACTCCGTCCTGTGTCAGCTAGAAAACTAGCAGCTATGGTCGGAAGCTAGCAGTATTGACTTGTTCTGTTTATACTGGATTCAGCCAATCTAAATTGGAAATATAAATTGCACAAGACATTTTTTGCCTGGATTATTAATACTGTTTTTTCTTCGCAGCGTGGGCTCTTTCCTGTTGTTTTGTTATGTTTGATCCACTAATAATGTAAAAGAATGATCCACCCATGGTCGTGTTTAGAGGAAAGCCTACTTTTTGTGCCTTTGTTTTATTTGTGAGTTGACTGGGTACTTTTTTCTTTTGGGGCCATTTTGAACGTTAGCAATGACTCGTTCGTGTTTGACATGTCTGTCATTGGTTAAGGTGGCATGCTTCCTGTTATTAGCCGATTGGATGAGATGCTGATAATGAAAACTCATTTTCGCTTATTTGTAACTCTGAAGCCCCTTCACTGACATTCATTAGTGATTAAGTTCACTCTAACACAAGTTCAAAGACAGGACCCCGTGAAAGCAGAAAACGCAATTATAAAATGAAGGTTGGTCAAAAAAAAATTTGTACAAAGGAGAATGTCCTTGCTAAGAGACTAGGGCACTTACGAAAACCTTCCCTTATCTCACATAAGAGAACATAGTCCAATCAACCAATCCACATAGTTAAATAAATATTGACAACATAGTAGTTGAACCATTATCCGCTGGAAGGTAGTCCATAACCTTACGCCCCATTGTCTGACTGATCCGAGTGAGGAGTTATTTTCTTGTGGGTTGACTGTTGAGCCTAATCTTTGTTCTTTTTTTGTGCTATGCATGCGACTGATTCTGTCCAAGTTCACTGGTTCTTGTCTACCGAAAATTCAAAACATGCTTCTGATAAATAGGCTGTCTCTCTCCTGCAGGTCCCAGAAACTGCAATTTTCTTCATAGAAGATGGGAAAAAGGTCCCAGCTGCTTGACTCTGAAATCCTGGCATAAAGAGAGTTTTAGACTGACAGTTAAACTAGGCCATATTACTTTACTTCTGAAGTAAACGGCTGATAAACTTATACAGCTTTTGTCCATACATCTTGAGCCAGTCAGATCCAGTCCTCTGCCCACAGTTACGGTCACTGATTGGCTTCAGCTTAGTTATTTAGGGTCAAAATTATTTTGGAACCTTGTTATGATGCATGGTCAGTGGTTAAATTTAACTACCTTAACCGGGTGATGTTAAATGTTGAAGAACTATAGAGTTGTTAAATTGAGTTTGGATTTATTGACCGTTACATTCAGCCTTGAAAATTAGTTTTACATGCTGTCGATTGAGAAAAAGAATATGGCCACATTGCCCATGGACTTCGAATTTTTATATGAACGTAGTTGTTTGCAAAGTGGAAAAGATCCTCTACTATATTTCCACTTATAAACTGTAAATTCCAAAAAAAAATATGGTCTATTTTATAAGTTTTAATTTGAGTTTGTCTTATTATTGAATATATTTCTTTAATTCTGCCATTAAGTATTTATTTTCTTTTCATTGTCACATGCTCTCTGTCACATTTTTCTATACATCTTTTCTCTTTTTTCTCATTTACTGTAAGAGTATATTTGAAAATAAAGGTATGTTTTTATACTTACTGTTTTGAAAACAAAAGTATGTTATTATACTGACTGTTTTTAAATACTCCTCCGGTCCTAATTATAAGATCTAATTGACTTATTTGAGGAGATTAAGGAAGTAAGTTAAGTTGGTTATTTATAATAAATAAGTGTTGTCATTCTTAAAATATCCTTGCTAATTAAGTATATTGGTTAAAACTATAATTATTAGAAGGATTATCTTGAAAAAAAATGCATAAATATAAGAGACAAAATAGATTGAAGTCTTATAATTAGGACCAAATAAAAAGTTAAATGGGGTCTTATAATAAGGACCGGAAGAGTATAAGTTATTACCAATTTCTAAGTGGCGTTTTGTCTCAAAATTTTAATTCTAACGGCAAATTTATTACCACGTGCATGCGTTCCAGCAGTAATCATTGTATGTTAGGAATTGGATAATTTTCACAGGCAACTCTGCGTGTGTCGTGGGGGTGGATTTTTTTTTTTTTTTTTTAACCATAATGAACATCGAGATTCTTGTTCAATTTAAGCAATCGCCTGAAAAATTATATTTTAGGTCTGGGAAAAAATTAAAGAAAACTACTTGCTTTTTATTCTTTTCATTTTTTTTTTCTAGCCAACAAAGTCCACCATGATTTTGACCTCTTGAAATTGGATACGGAATTGAGGAAATGAGTAATGCACTTGTTCTTGATTTAAAGCATTTAGATCAAACCCACAGACTATACACATAAGTTATATTTTTATTTAAAAAACATATAGAATATTTATTTTTGACCAATTAATTTAAAATAGATAATGATTAAAATAAATATAAAACTGATATTATTTAAACTTAAATTTTTTTTGCTTGAATATTTATATTTAATCTAAACTAAACCCAAAAAAAGATATATAAGCATCAAATTCAAATGTCACTTTCTTAATTAGTACTATATGATTTCTTTATCCCTTCATTCCCACAATTTAGAAGAATTAAATGATAAATGATGACTGCATCGAATATTCACAAATAGAATTAAATGAACATGAGAGATATTTTAAGGGGAAAAAAAATCTAACGTTTCTCCATTCCGCATGTCTGCCCCAAAAACGGAAACGAGAGAGAAAATGGATCTGATCTGAACCCAACTGAAAAGCAACCCTTTCATCTCGTCCGTTTTTGTCCCACGCAGTCAAAATTCACAGTGACTTTCTTTACCGTCTAATTAAATATTTTTCATAATTATCGACAATTAATTTGATCAATAAATTACACTACTTCCAACCCTTAATATAAAATCAAGTTGACTAATTTAAAAGATTAAAAAATTAGTTAATTTAGTTATTTATAATAAATAAATATTATCTTTTTTAGAATATTCTTACTGATCATTTGTATTAATTAAAACTACTATTTGATAAAACATTTAACATGTACAACTACTACAAGGACTACTTTAAAAATAATAGATGAAGATGAAAGAAAAAGTGAATTGAAGTCTTGTATTTATAACCAAATTAAAAATGAAACTAACTCTTAGATTAATAGCAGAAGGTAGTATTATGCATAACTTATAGACAACTAATCCCTCTCCTTTATGTCCTCACTTCATTATCTTTAACACGTGCCTTACAATAGTTTTTTTTTATCCCAAAACTGAAAAACAAAATACCCACCCGCCTAAGTGTGCGTATCCTTCAATTATAATTTTTTCCTGATGAATTTTTAGAAGTATTTTCTATCGACAATATAGAATAAAAGATAAATCCTTCTCATTAAATCATATGCTCAAAGAGACAATAGTTTATATATTCCTCACATGAACCTAAACTTATGGAATCATATTATTATTCATGACTACATGGAGGAAATTCAAATTCATTGAGAGACATTAATATTTTCGGATGTTTAATAATGGGGAAATTCATTTGGATTGGCACATGTTTGACAATCATTTTCTGAATCTGAAGATCCAATCTCTAATCTAAAACACCAAACTACACACACCCACATTCACTAACTCATTAAAGTTGGCAATGGCTCCTGCTTTATACATTTCTATTCACTCCAAAAAGCTCATTTTCCCTTTAAGATTGAGGCAATTAGCGTGAGTTCCAAGTCATCATTTCATTCACTTTCTATGGACGACGTTACTGTAAACTTCGATATTGAGAAACCAACAAACAAGTCATCCGCCAATTCTGTCTTCTTCCCTGTGAAATATCAAAATCTCCTCTCTATTATTTATATAAAAACCCTTGATTAATATCGAAAGTATTAACTTTGTTATAAAATTCAAGTTATTTCTATTATTACTCCTATTAACCATACTAAAATTTCAGTATCATATCAATTTCTACTATTTCACTACTCACAACCTTTATTAAATACAGACATATCTGGAAAAAAAAATATTTAATACTTATTAAAACTATTAAAGGGTCTTGTAAAACAGACTAAAAATTCCTTCTAGAAGAGCTGCTATGATAACAAGCAGAGAAAGAAATAACAACTCCATCATCATTACGAATATCAAACTTACCACAACTCCATTATCACTTAGGACTTAACAATAGCAACCATGATTTTGAAAATCAAACTCATATATGAACAACCTGCTCATTTGAAATGGTGGTAAAAACACAAGATGAACATATGAGAATCTCAAATTATGTGGATAAGTATTTTTTGGATTACAGCCAGTGATCTTTAACAAGTAATCTGTGACGTTTATGTTCTTCCTTAAAAGTAGTGAATTCTAGTACCTTACAATTTTAATTACTCTTCATTAGCCAAACAAGCAACACAACAAATCTCAAATCTAAATCTTTGCAATGTAATATAAATGCAAGGACGTAATCGTTTTCACTAACGCAAGCAACTTTACATTGACACGTACTTCTTAACCTTTTCACTCCCAATATTATGAATGAAACAGACTGCTGACTAAATAAACACTACGGGACGAGCAGGTGCATCCGAAGCCTAAAGTCTTAAAACTACTAATTAAAGGGCCTTTTAGTCATTTCAGGTGCAGCTATCGCTGTGGTGATGAGCGGCGATGAAGCCGTAATAGGTGATGTATTGACCGTTTTACCCCGGGACTTACGGTGGGCTCCACGCACACAGCCCTTCCTCATCAGCTTGCTCTGATCATCTCTCTGTAACGCAGGACCGAGTTCAGCCTCTGTAACCTCAGTTGCTGTTTGAATCTGTTGATGAAATCGTCGGCTTTCGCGTCCACCGTTTCGTCGTCCACAAACGACGCCGTTTCAATGCCTGCTCTGTACCTTGCCGTCTCTGATTCTGGTGTCCGGCGATCCCCCTCCTCCTCCTCCTGCGTTCTCGACGCTGCTTTGTCACTCGCCGATTTCTTCATCTTCTCCGGTAACTTCCCCGACGTCCCGTTACTCGACTCCGATTTGCTCCTCCTCACCAAGTTATCCGCATCATGATCCTCTTTAGACTCCGGAACGTCAGCTTCTCGTTCAAGTCCTTCTCCCGTCGCTTTTATTGAGTCCGATCTGTAGAGAGACGAGAATTTCATAGACTTGAGGCGCTCCAGGAGCGAAGGAGTTCTCGCCAGTTGCGGTTCAGTTGGCTGTTCCTGCGGGTCATCGGGTTGAACAGACACTGCATCTGCACCTGTCGGTTCGAAGCTGTTAGAAACCCCAAATTTGAACGACCAGACTCGCTCGATCAGTGACGGCGTTCTGACGAGCTGAGGAGAGTCATGAACGGGCTGAAGATATTCGGTTTCGGGAAACGCAGCGTCGTGTTTGTAGAAATGGAGGGACCTAAAGCGTTCAAGCAGGGACGATGAACGGACGAGAGCTGGGTGGCCATCGTGGTGGTGGTCGGAAGGCTTTGTGGGGGTACCAAAACGGGAAGAGATGACAATTGTGCCGATGACGAGGTTGAGAAAGAGGAAGAGAGAAGAAGGCGTGAACCAGCTCGCGACGAAAGCGGAGATTGTAACCGGGTCAGCCATGGACGGTGCGCCGGCGTGCTTGCTGACACACTGCGCAAGAAGAGGATGAAAGAGGCTTTGCAAGATGTTATCTGAATATATTACTACTCAAGGGTTATTGTGAAGCGTGAATGAAAGCTTGAAAGGCTTGCCTTATATCTAAATTGTAACAGCGTTGACGTTTACTTCATTGAAATGTGAAACGTGGCACATTTAATATTTTATGAATCTAAAAATAAATCAACAGAAGATCAGATGTTCAGCTAAATAAAATAAAATTAAAAACGACATCACTAGGTGAGAGCAAAATTACTTCTTTTAGCCGGGGGGGGGGGGGGGAAAGAAGGAGAAATTTTTTCCCGGCTTAATATCGTATTCTGGTCCACTTTATGTTCAGCACATCCGCTCTTATTGTTTTATCTTGTTATCAAATAATGCCTTCCCATGTTTTCTTTACATATCAAAAAATAAAAGTGAAAATGATAAAAAAAATTATTTCATAAATAATGATAAAATTATATTTGATGTTACGCTTTCATTATCTCTTATACCTTTCTTATATTTAACAAGATGAAAGTAAAAAAATTATATTAATTATCCTGACAACATATTTTAAATTATAATTTTCTTCTAACCAACGTCTTATAATAGACTAGACAGAATATAATACTAGAAAAATTTTAAGAAAGATTTAAAATTACAAACTGTGTGATTTTTTTTTTTATTTGCCAAATGATTTTTTTAAAAAAAAAATTTCAAAATACAGTCCACACAAGTTTATGATGGGAATTCAAGCGTACCATATTTGACATCAATACATAGCGTCTCTTTCAAACTAATAAATAACATAACAACCGATAGTAACTACGCTCAGTTCGACTCTGGGGGAGGTCTTACATTACACTTCAGTATGTTTTTTTAAAGATAATGTAAAACTGATTTAAAGGAATCTATCAAAAATCAAAAATCAAAATAAAATGTATTTACGAATTTGGCATTAGTGAATTCTAGACGCAGTGGCCTACTTCTTACTTTCAAGACCGAGAAAAGCTAAACTTTGTAAATTTTAGATTGAAAGATCTTTTCTGCCATAATTTTGAGAGATTTAAAGAGGTAATAAATTTTAAGAAATTTTATAACTATGTGTTACGAAAACTGTCACTAAACAATTTTATAAAAGTGATTACTATTTTTTTAATTGATTTCTCAATATTTAATAATAAAATTTAAAACGATTAATATGTGGTCATTAACAATTATGATAATATTTTATTTATATATAAACTAGAAGTGTTTGGAATTTGGAAATACCATATTTCCTCAAGAGTAACGATAGTGGCGTCGATTACAGGAGAAAAGGAAAATGCTGGCGACAGAGGAGCATTTGTGTGGCAATAATGGAATATGCTACTTCTATTTTACTTTTTGTTTTCACCCCACCCAATATAAATTAAAAAAATCTATAATTTTTTCATGAACTACTAGTAATATGACCTGCTTTTCAAATTTCATATGTAATATTTTTTTCAGCTATAAATGCTGGAGTTACATAATTAATTTATAAAAATTAGTTTATAATAAATTATATTTATTTAGTTAAATTTTTAATTATTTATATTAAAAAGAAATTTTTTTTAACTATGTGTGCAATCAATAAAATTGTAAGATAAAACGAACTGAATTCTAATAATATTTAGATCAAAAAAATTCTCAACTAAATCCTACATCCAGAGGGAATATTAGTTAAGATGGCAAAATCATTTGTGAAAATTATATGAAACATTTTTTTTTTAAGAATTAGATCACATGATTTCACGCTGAATATGTCTCAATAAAGTGCCAAAAACCTCTTCAATTTACGAGTCAACAGAGTGGGTCTTCTGCCTAATCAACAATGCTATTGGATGTATTTATCTAACTTTTAAAAAGGGCGAGTTAATAGAGGAAAAATAAATTAATCCATAATTTATAATATATTTAGGATATGATGCATACAATTCATCCACTTAAAGATTTCCACCAAACCGGACCATACCCAGTGGAGGGGAAAGAAAATTATTTGAACGGAAAGAGAGAAGTAACCAGAGGATCGATGATGCAAACAAAATGACGTAATGCATGGCCAAGCTAACCTCACCAGATTGGACCCCCCCCCAATTTAATATTCTTTTAATGAAAAAGCTGATAAATCATTTAATTCATTTATTTTTAATCTGTAGAAAATGTGCCATGAAAAAAAAAAAACAGAGAAAGATGATGATAGGGGGAAAGAATGTCAGAGAGAAAATGCATTCATAAATATGAGAAGATGAGAAAATATGATCGCATATTAAAAATTGCTCCAACCCTTTCTCAATAAAAATTACAGAATTAATTAAATACATTTAGTTAATAATAGTAGTATTAAAAAAATATACGCTCATGTTTGTATAGTTAAAGCGTTAAACACTAATAAAAAACTGCCCACATCTAAAAGGTTGCAGGTTGTCACTTTTGCTGGATAAGTTTATATGTATGTTACGCTCCAATTCTAAATATAACAAGATACAAATAATTAAATTATGTAGATTAAAAAATTAACTAAAAATAATAAATATGTTAAAAATCTATTTTGTTTTTAAAAGAATATATTTATTTATGGAGAGAGAAAACAAGTTGAAAAAATGGGAGGATTGTTATAAAATCCTAAGAAATGAACATAATCAATAAAAAGTTTTAGTAATAACAGAACAGTCAGTAATAATAAATTTTTGTGTAAAAAATAATACTATTCATTTATTATTGAGATTTTTGAATAATTTCTTTGAGACTTTATTCTAATTCTTCTTTTAAAAAAAAAAAAAGAGGTATGTGAGAGATCATTAATGCACAGAATAATTTTATATATTCTTTAAATATATCTTAGAAATAAATCATGCCTATCTAAAATCTGTATAAAAAGCATGCTTTCTTACATGGATTTAAACATGTTTTGTTCAATTTATTTTGGGTTAGATATTTTTCTTGGGGCAAGGCTTAATATTTATTTTAAAGCTAATTAATTAAATAATCAATTGATGCTGATTCACTTAATAATTACTCCCTCCGTTCCTTATTATAAGAGACATTTGATGCTTATGGCATGTTCCTATATATGAGAGACGTTTAAAAGCTGTCTCTATTTTTTTGTATTGATTTTTTATGTTACCCCAATTTATTTTGTCTCAAACTCATACTCTCTCTCCCTCCCACTTCTCTTTCTTTTAATAATTTAATTGTTCTCTCATACTCTCTCTCCTTATTAATGGGGCATTGTTAGAAAAATATTATACTTTTTACATATTAATTATTCTCAACTAATTCTAACTGTTTTTTTATCAACATAATTTGATTATTTGCCTCTTATAATAAGAAACAAAGAGAGTAATGTTTATAAATAATTCTAGAATTTATGGGAGGGTCAGTTTTGGTCAATTCATGGGGAAACCAACCAAATGGGAACGGTTTGACATGTGGATTTGTCGTGTTTTGGAGGTTGGTTTGGTACTGTGGTGCGTAGTATGGAGCGACCTGAAATTTCTGGAGTCTCATTTACATTCATCATTTTATCTTTTAATAGTCTTTAATACTATCTGTTATCTCGTACGTAAACTATAAATAAAATTTTATAATTAAAACTGGGATGGTATAAAAATTAATTTAACTTTTAATATAATTATAAATATAAAATTTTAATTTATTTTATTTTTTATATTTATTAATTTTTTAAAATAGTTATTACAATAACTGTACATATTAAATATTTAATTAAATAATATTTAATTAGTAAAGACATTTTAAATAAAGTAATAAATATTTATTACAAATAACTAATTTAACTAATTTTTTAATCTATTTAAATTAATGAATTAACTTAAATATCAAAATTGTAGTACTCAATCAGCACCCATCTCTTCGCCTGGATTAGATCGCTTGCCTTCCAATCTCATCGTTCACCACTTATTCTTTATCAGATCCATGCGTGTACGGATTGTTTGTTATTAATTTGTTTGAAAAACAAATTAGATACAGATGTTCCTTCCTTGTGTGTTATACTATGCGTAATTTCAGAAACGAGTCACAGAGCCTATCATAAAACTATTTAAAAGTTTTTATATATTTTTACAGAACATTAGAAAATTGGATTAAAAATGTTACACGTGTTGGAAATGAAGCCTGCTAAGGATCATAAATTCATTAGGGCGTGTTTGGATCCGAATAATCAATAATTACGAGAGCCAAACAAAAAAAAAAATCATGGCTTTGAAACTAAATAATCAATAACTTTATTGAGCCAACTTTTTTCCAAAAAACTAAATAATTCAATGATTTAGTTTTTATACTTTATTTACAACTTTAGATACACATGCATCACACACACACACACAAACTGATAAAAGTCAAAAGATTAGACATTGATGAATTTCTCTAGTTTTAAAAGATCCTCCATTATTCTCTCTTTCTTAAATGGTACGAGACTAATTTAAAAAGTATTTATTTGGAATAAATGGAAGTTAAAAGATTAAAGATACCATAATTACAAAAAATTAATATTATAGTTCATGCAATCTGTGAATTATATTATGAGTAGATTTTATTTTCAGAGTACTTGGTCAAAAAAAAAAGATTTTATTTTCAGAGTATAAAGGCCTAATGCGAGTCCACCTCAGAATGTTGGACGCAGCACATCACATACAAGCCATATCTACTCACTGACTCATCATTCCATTATATTACTACATCACTACCACGAAACCTTTTCTATTCTCATAATTAAAGGGGGATAATATAAGTTTCTATATGTATTTTTATTTTTATTGTTAAATTTCTCAGTAATAACATGACAAGCACATTAATTTAACAACTGAACATCTAGTTTTTAAAAAATGGGGGAAAAATTCCCCATTAAAAGTTTCATCGGTGATGAGAGATTAAAGTATACCTCTTTATTGTAAATGTTAAGGATGTTAGATATAACTTTAATACACATCATTAAAAATGTA